GATATTTGCTTTCACTTGTCTCTGACACAATCTGCAAGATGAAGCTGCCCGAGAACATGTAGTTCAGTGTCTTCTTTCGCCTATTGTGCCCACCTGTGAGATCTGAACTTTGGCACAGTGGTTTTCAGTGGTAGAACAGAAATGGGAGACAAAGCTTGGCTGTTAACTGTGATCTGAATGTGGGCTGGCTTTTCCTTTCCCCCTCGTCCGCCTCCTCTACCTGTCCACAGGTAAGGACAACATTCAAGTTTGTTTTGCTGCTTTTATGTATGTTGTTGCTTTACACACATACCCAGATTTACTGCTCGCAGAACTTCTCTGAAGGACATTTTCAGTTGAAACGAATAAAAGGTGGTCTGTCTAAATCCAGCCCTCAGGCTGTAACTGAAAATAAATAGTGCTAAGGAAATTTGACACCAAATCAGCTTGTGTTAAAACAGTGCAGAAATGTCAAAATACTGCAAACAATTAATAATAAGTAGCTGTCAAGTAATACTCTCGTCAAAGCGAAAACTGTTGTACATTGTTGTCACTTTATTAACCCAATGCCGCATCCTTTGTAGTGCAACACAAAAACAAATCCAACTGTTACAAATGTTTGCACCTGTTGAGTCAGTAAACCTTTAAACATGTCAGCCTGGGATGGATCAGTGCCCCCTTGTGGACATTTTCTAACATTAAAAAATGAGTTTTAACTTTTTTCCCTTCACAAATTTATATATAAATATATAAAAACTTATATATTTTAGACTTAGACTGCAGTCCCACTGGTGGCCATTTGAGACAGAATCAAATAGTAAGTGAATTTCTATAGACTGTAAAAGATCTCCAGCTTGTTACTCCTACAGTATAATACTCATAATAAAAGTACAGCAACAGTAATGTTAGTTAATGATTTGGCAGATACAATGGCTTTTTTGTGTTTTCCATAAAAGTCATTTCAGTGACTCATCGTCAGGTGTCTGCTGCACATTTTAATAACAGTACATTCAAAGCAGCAGAGCTAATGTCTGCACTACAGCACTGACTTTTAATTTATAATCAAGCATGAAAGACATTTTAGAAAACACACTTTTAAAAAGTGCAATGCTGATGCCTCGGAGTCAGTTATGTTGGTTTGTCCAGTTTACTGCAGAACACCTCACACTGTCAGTGGTTATGGAAAGTAAATGTTGGATGTCTCAGCATCTAGCTGCAATTCCTGATCAAATGTCTGACATAAATACAACTGATATACAACTTAAAGTTCTGAAAAAAAAAAAGACTCAAAATTGAAACCATAATCTGAAATGTCAACATGTGGATGCAAAAATTGTTTTCATACAATTTATAAAAAATCTGTATAAAAATGTTTTTTTAAATTTAAATCCTTTTAAAGGTAAACGTACTGCGATAGCTTCAATTAGTATGCCATAGTGGCATTTTATTCATTGTAGCACATCCTCATGGTCAGTTATTTATCTATTTATTTTATATTTCTCAATAAATGGGAGCCAGACTTCATGCCATAGACTGTGTACAAAAGATGGCATCTGTCACGTCACACACTGATAAAGCACAGTAAAGCATTCAAGCTGAGCGTTTTTGTAGTAAATTATGACGTTTTCATAATAATTTACTAAAAAAACCATCATATTGTACTCAATAAGGACCTGAAACTAATGATTAAGATCATAAACTCATCGCAATTGAGTTTAATGAGGTCACAGAGTAGGAGAGTCAAAGGAACCTATAGACTTGGATACAACTTGATGCCCTTTTGTCAGCAGAGGAGTTGCCCCCTGCTGGCCATCAGAAAGAATGCAGTTTCAAGGCACTGCCACGTACACTTCTATCTTTTATATACAGTCTATGTGCTCCACGTACCAAGTCTTGTTTTGATGGATCAAAATGCTTTGGAAATATTCTTCACTTCCACTAAATTCGACCAGCTGTGATGGACCAACTGTTCTCATACTCATATGGAAAAAGGAGAAGACATCAGAAAAACTGTGGATGCTTCTTTAAGTTTTAGGATTGAGGGACCACATCACTAGTCTGGTTAACTGAGCTAAAGGAAACCAGACTTCTGCTGTTTAGGCATGACATGAATCAAAAGCAAAATACTCACAGGCCTGACTCTGCATCAAAAGAAAAGTTCAGGTGACTGACTTTGTTATGACCTAATAGCCAATCAAAATTCAAGCAGGTGAAGTCTGAGTTAAAAAGTGAGACAGCAGAAGGTCAGAGAAAGTCCTGAAAGGTTGTTAGGTGTTGGTTAAAGAGAGAAAAAGTAAAATTGTGTTTAGTTTCAATTGATGTGTTATCAGTGAGATGAGTTTAAAAGGTACTGTTAAAAGTAGCAAAAAATTTTAAGAGTCACTTGAAATGTAAAAATCTGTTAATGTGTCAGTGAATGTAAAATTTAACTGAACTGAAGTGGTCAGATTTGAGTGTTCCCTTGAGTCTTTATGACCTTGAATCAACGTCTTTGGCTTTATTATTAACCTCCCTGTTAGTGTGCACATTCCTGAAGGTTATGTGTGTGAGCTAGATCGCCCATTAACTTCCTGGTTCTCTGTTATCCAAGAGAAAATCTGAGAATCAGAGTGTGTTCAAATGCAGATGAGATTCCCACACACAAAGAAAACTACTGTTTTTAACCTGTCATCTGCATGCACCTGCATTCTTTCTGTGAAGTTTAAGTACAGAAATATTGTCAGAAACAGCCAGAAACACATGTAAAACTGTCTTTAAGAAGCTTTTTTTACTGCTACTTCTGTGTCCACCAGACTACAGCATGATGCCCTAAAGGGCCATGAGATCATTTTCAGAGGTTGTGTGATGATTACTGGGAAAAGAAAAAAGAAAATTCTAAGTACTAATTAACAAACCTGTTTTCGTACTTTTGTCCGAGTGTCTGGGAGTGATTTAAATTAAACCACTTGAAACATTTAAAAGGTATTCTGACAACTACCAACTCACAAACATATAAAATGTGTTGAAGGACACAAACTATGCACTGATTTTTGTGAAGCCGAGTGGTCTGATTATACTAGTGTGCTGTCTCTGTTTTATAAGCAAATCGTGTTTTCTTTTTGTAAAGTTTGAACTGTGTGGAAAAAAACATAGTTAAAAGTATAAAGAAACGTATATCGAAGAAAATTATGGATTTGACGTCCTAAATTCTTCTGTAAGATGAAGCACATAAATTGTCCAAGTCGCTTTTTTTTTATGAGTGTGGGAACCTACAGTTAAGTGAAAACATGTCCCAAAGAATCCAGCTCCACCTAGTGGACGTAAAGTGTACTGCTATTCATGAAACCAAACACAACCTACCTGGAAAATTAAGCTTCTCTTCTAAAGATGTTAGTCTTAGTGGTATTCCTGACATGATCTATCATATCAGTAGTGTGCAAAAGTCTAATTTCTTTATATTTTGCTTCCGTGGAGACAGCCTTTCTCATCAATTTAATACTCTTTACCCCTTGAAAGCCAGCTAGGAGTCATCTTTGAAGCTCCTTTCTGAGCTTTCTGTCAGGTTTCTGTTATATTTCAGACCTGCTTATAAAACAAAATGAAGTATCAGAAGTTAGTGAGGGTGGTCTCTGCCTATGCAGCTAACATTGTAAAAACCCAGAAACTATTCTAATATTGTGATCTAATGCACTTCCCTTTGACATAATACTGAGGTTGTCAAGTGTCATTTTTATGAGGGAAAACGTTAAAATGTTCCATATCTCGGCATGGTGTGCACTGTGTCCTTAAAGAATTTGAAGAAATGGGAAAAGTGGAGGACCAAAAAAAAGAAGTGGCAAGCTTAAAATGAACAGTGTCTGAAAGTAGTGTTCTTTTGAAACAGGAAAAAGAATCCAACAAAGACCTCACACAGGACCTGAGAGATGCATCTGGCCCTTTAGCTGATCCATCAACTGTTCACTGAAGCCTCATCAGAAATGGTCTCAGTGGAAGGGTGGCTGTCAAGAAGCCATTCTTAAGAAAAGGAAACAGAGAAAGTCTGAGGTATGCGAATTTACACAAGAGCTGGACTGAAAATCAGCAGCAACAGCTCTGATGGAGTGATGAATCCATTCATCCATTTATTCTCTTCTCCTTATCCTTTTCAGGGTCGCCGGGGGGCTGGAGAAGCCAACAAAAGGCAGCCAAAATTCAAAGAAGAGCTTTGAATGTCCTTCAAGAAGCCTGGAGAACTATTCCTGAAGACTGCTTAAAGGAATTACAGGAAAGCTTCCCTAAGAAAGTTCAGGCTGTGTTGAAGAATAAATGTGGTCATTACAAACACTGACGTTCAATCTTAGAATTTAGACAGATTCTGTTTTACCTTATTTAATTCCTTTAGAATGTTTTCACCTATTTTCCTGGTGAATTGTAAAGAAGTTACAGGTGACTCAAGAAGTTCTGTTTTGACATCAAAAGAGGAAATTAATACTTCTCAAAGTGTAACTGAGGATTTTTTTTTTTTTGCACTTGCTTTCTTGACATCTACAACACTGAGGAAAAAAAATCACCTCCAATAACATGAAACAGAATGTCCGAGTCGCTTTTATTTACACAGAAAAAACAAAAAACGTCTTTCGGTTTAGTTCGAGTGTATTAAATCTTTGTTTGTGAGCAATAGTGTGTGTGTTGTGATATCTTTACAAACTGAAACAAAATAAACACAAGTTCAGACGTACACAGTCGACTCTAGTCTCTGCTCTAATGAGAGCTTCACTGTTTGACAAGTGACAGGAAAATTTACATCATTATTAAAGCCTGCCAGCGTGAATGTGCAGGGATGCTGGTACTGGAAATTTAGCTTAGCTGCAAACAGCTACCACAGGATCCACGCCCCCTCATGTTAACTTTGAAGGAAGTTTTTCCTGGTGCTATTATTGTGCTCAAGCTTGAAATGTGAAGATTAATGTCACTGCAACATTGATCTGTCTTCTGGGGAGCAAAAAAAAAGTGAAAATAAGTTATTTTAAATCACATTTTGCAATTTTTATTTACTGATAAAAATATAAAATAATCCAAGTCTTAATTTAAAGGCTTTTTTTCTGTGCTTAAATGTGCCTCACAGTCTGAGAACCAGTGGTCCAAATCTGTAGGTGTACAAAGCTGTTGTCACATATTCACTTGAGACAGATCAAATTATTTTTCACACTTGGGAAACAGCCCACTTCAACACAAACTTTCTCTGTGGTTTTGGTGAGGAAACATTCGACCACACCAGCACTTGCGTCTGCACTGGGAGAGGTAAATGCAACACAGTATTGCATGAATGGATTTGACACTAAACATGGTTTAGAGAGCAGCTAATACGGTCTCACATACACCAGAGCATGTGTGCAAATGCTTATCTGTGGAGACCATGCACGCCCACATGTCATTTCATTGAAATCCAGAGTAAAAGATGTCAACAAAAAAGGAAATATTTGCAGTGTCTGCAAATATACAGAATGTACAGAAACAACACTGGGAGGGTCTGCGAAGGTGGAGTCTTGAATAAAACCTTAAGGGTTATTGTTGTGGAGAGGTGGCGGTGGTGGCTTTCAGGATGCCTCGCAGCACCTTGTAGTTGTTGAGGGGCTGGTTCTCTTTGGGGGGGTAACAGGGACCACGTTCTGTGGCGTAGGAATAAGGAAACCGCAGCACCCAAAGGCCATCAGATGCCAACGATATTTCAGTCTGCTCTGGGTGGAAGATCGGACAGGGAGGAGGGCCTGGCTGTACCTGAAATCACAGCAGAGGACAAAAGACGATGTTATTCAGTGCTGAACCCTAATAATTTAGCCACACAACTGAAAATCTAGGCTTCAAGATTGTCACTTTGACAGGTTACAGGTGGATACTGGGGTAGTGGAGAAGTAAACAGGAGGCAGCAATGGAGAGATGGGAAATTTTACTGCTTTTTTGGTCAAGAATGAGACATGTAGTGACCAAAAGAGTAAAGTTGTTTACTCACTTGAGTGTCTGGGCTTGGAGTAGAGCTGTGTCAAAAGAAACCAGCTGAGGTGGTTTAGGCATCTGCTTAGGATGCCTCCTAACTGGGAGGAAACCCTGATGCAGACCCAGAACTTACTAAGATCTTGGCTGGGAAAGCCTAGGATCACCCAGAAGAAAGTGGAAAGTACAGCTGAGGATGCCTGGAATGACCTGCAGCCTGACCTCAGATAAGAGCAGGATGGATGGATGAGGCAATTTAGTGTATGATGCAGAGCAGCTTGAGTTGCCTTTATTAATCATTTGGCAGATTTCACTCCTCTTTGTTATATATATGCACCATATATGTGTTAAAGGGCAACAGAATCTGCAACTACAGCCAAGTCTGAAGGTTTGTCTTTGTTAAAACTGTGACATGCTCATTTTAGTTTTCATACCTGCCTAAATAGTGACATGCTGCAGATATCTTAACCTTTTCTTTGCACATTTTGTGATACATTCCTGTTGTTGAACAATGAACTGAACAGTGCAATAGGTTCTTGCTTGGTTTGGGTCTTTAAGGGAAACCCCAGTCACCCTTTAAAGGAAACTCATTTCCACGCCTTGTATCTGCAACCTCATTTTTTCTGTCTCTACCCAGCGCTCGCAACTATAGGTTACACTCAGCTCTCTCTAGACTACAATGGACCGGCAGAGCTCCAATCCGTCTGTCAATCTAATGCTTCACTCATTTGGGAATAAGACCCTGAGACACCTAAACTCCTCCACTTTTCGTGGCAATTTGTCTTAGATTGCACACTCCAACCTTTTCCAGGCGGGGAAAAAAAGATTAAAAGTTTAGCTTTGAACTGTAACTTTAGCTTTTACAGAGTCCCAGACATAGTGATCATGGACATATTGCTGAAAGAATTAGCTGACTCACTGAAAACAGACAGAAAATGAATCCCCCTTTTTAAAAGAGTTTTTGTTTACATCGCTGAAAAACATCTGAGAAAATAAACAGTAGATAAGAGTCCATTAAATCATCATCAGGTGCACCCCTGTTTGGAGATGACTTGGAGTCTCCTCCTGCTGCTTACCTGTGGGTTGAGGGTCACCTCCAGCGGGGCGTCAGGCACTACAACAAAAAGGCGAGTCAACTGGGCGAAGTGGGGCTTCAGGCCACGGCCCTGGGAGGGAGAAGGGATGTGCAGCGGCATGTCGGTGTTTAGCACCCTGGTGGCAGGATCTTTAGCACCCCCCGGCCCCAGCACCTTCACTACTTTATCAGGCCCGCAGCTGATAAAGCGTCTCCCCCTGCCGTCTTCATACTCGAACCCCACAAAGATGCGAGCCATGTCTTCCCTCCTGCGACTCCTACCGAGCCCACCGGTGCTGCCTCGCTTTCCCACAAGGGTCTTGTTGGGGGCTGGCCACGAGGACGTGCCTCCGTCCAAAGGCTCCGTTAGTCCTGTATCTTCCTCCGATCGGGAGCGAATCACCAAGTCCCACGGCAAGAGGAATGAGGAGCCAGGGAGGAAACCTGGCTGCTCCAGGCCCGTGTGGCAGTTATACGACTTTGCTGGGCCAAGTTTCACCAGTGACCAGCTGGAGAATTTAGGGAGGAGACCTTTAGGGCAGCCAGAGTGCATCATTCCAGGAAGGTACTCCACAGTGGAAGGCTGCCGGTCAACAAGGCTCGGCCTCTTTTGCTGGACTTGTGTTTCGGCTCCGTCTCCATCCCCGTAGGGCCCCAGGCTGTCTGTAGACTGGCCTAGACTAAGAGCGAGGCTAAGGCTGGTGTCTCCAGGCGTGTGGCTCTGGGCAGTGCTGGGCTCCTTCAACCTCTCTGCATCACCCGATCCTGAAGCCTCACAGGGGTTTCTCTGAGCCTGGTTTGCCGGGGCCGGGTCAGGAGTGCTGGGCTGGAACACTGGAAACTCAATCCTCTCCAGCTTCCCACAGCATTTCTCCTCCAGCATCTACTCAGGAAAAAGACAGTTAACAAGCAAATACTTGTGAGTGATTAGATGTTGTGTTTTAGATATACAATTTAAAAACACAGTGTTTTTATAATGACACGAGAAAACTGAACAATGTGGAGCGAAGAACCATAAATCTGCAACCGGATGACATTTCTGTTTTTGCTTCACTCTCGTGGCTCTTAGAGGCATTTTTGACAATTTTCAATAAGAAAATCTCTAAAAGCGCACAGTGTACTACCTGAGCTGATAAAGGAGCTGTTATCAGCTACAGAGTGAGACATTTCCCTCAAAATTTTGTGTCTGACTGAGTCTTTCACAGCTGTATGTAGAAACACTGACAGAGCAGAGAGCCTGTGCCCCTCTGTGGTCCTCAGCAGGACCCATGTGGAGTAAATCCTGACCTGGTAAAACTCGTAATTTGCTGCCTGGATGTCAAAAGGATCCTCACGGGGAGCTTGCTTCCGTCCACAGTTACAGGAGCTGGTGGAGCGCCCTCTACTGTTGTGATTCATGATTGGTGGGTTGTGATCCATGTCAGGCTTCTCTCCTGTGGAATTAAGTGGCAGATTTCACATTTTTGGCTTTTATTTTATTTCAGTGTTAGAGCTACGACAATTATGTGAAATAGTCAATGAAAAAAAATTGCATTAAAGGGGCCCTCCTCAAACTTGTGCAGAGGAAGATGATGCGCTCACCTGGCTGAGGCAGCAGGTGGAACTTGTGAACACAGTGCTGGTCAGTCAGACTTCGCTCCTCACACAGCTGGTGTCCGTTGCTCCAAAAGTTGTAGCAGTCCTCGTGAAGCTGTAAAGCGTAGCGTTGGAAAGCCACTCCTCGAGCGTGCTGGCTGTACACCCGCAGAGCGTGAGCCAACTGGTTTTTATGGACCGTGGTGGTGTAGTTATGGGGGAGGTTGGACTGGTAGGCGCTGTGAGCCAGAGGCAGCGCTTTTTGGCACCTGTTCTCAGAGAACTTTGTGTCAGCGTCAAGAAAACCCTCCAAAACCTTCACCTGGCTTTGCACTTTTGTGGCTAGCTCAGCCATTTCTTCATCTGTGTTTTTGATGAGGACTTGGTGGAGTCTGGAGGCGACCTGGACCCATTTGGTGTAGGTCGGCAGCTCAAAGTGCGAAGGCTGCGGGTTGCGGCCGACGCTGTCATCGAAACCTTTTTTGGTGAGCACCAGGTCGACATGCTGCCAGAGGAATTCCTTTAAGCTGCAGTCCACCAGCTGACTGCCTATCGATATGCTGCCTGAGTCTCTGCTGCTGCTGGGGTGCCGAGCTGAATGCCGCATCTGCTGATAGCGCCTCGGCCCCGACACGGGCACGGAGGAGTCCTGCTCAGACAGCATGCAGTTGGACCGCAGCTGACCGAGTAATGCACCTAAGGGGTCCTCATCTAGTGCTGGGATCACGTACACAAATGCTTGGTTGGCGGGCACTGTGAACAAGCAGTTGCTACTCTGGTTGGTGAGAACTCGGCTTTTACGGAAGATGCGATAAATCTGGTCTTCCAAGGCGTGTTGAAGCCTCCGCCTGGGGGAGTGCTTCTTTGGTTTGTCAGGATTTGACTCTAAGCCGTTTGCAGAAACCTTTAGAATAACAAACAAAGACAACATCATTTGTATTCATATGGCTACCCTGAGTTCTTATATGGCGTGACCATTTATTAAAGAAAGATTTGACAGTTTCTGAAATATTTTTGCAAAATTTCCTATGGACTGAACTGTCATAATTTTACTTAAAGTCCAAATTCTGTGTTAAAAGAAAAAATAAAACAGTGCCATCAAAACATATTGACCTGATTTTCTGGTTTTTGCATGTTTGTCACACTGAAATGTTTCAGATCAAACAAATGGTTTTATAATTGGTCATTAGATAACTCAAGTAAAGACAAAATGCAGTTCTTAAATCATGATTTCAGTTATTAAGGGAAAAGTAATTGTCCCTTGTTGACTCATTAATTAACTGCAATTAGCCACATTTTCAGCCACACTCAGGCTGAATTACTGCCAGACCAGAACCTGTCTGACAAAAAAATAAGCAGGCTAAAAGATCTCAAAAAGCAACATGTTATGCCAAAATCTAAAGAAACAGCTGAGAAACAAAGTCATTGACGGCTATCTGTCTGAAAAGAGTTAAGGATTTGGGAGTCCTGGGTGGACTTCCCAGGCGTGTTGAATCTACCAAAATGAATCCAAGAACACATCAATGAATCTTCCAGCAGGTCCCAAAAGAACCCAGAACAACAACTAAAGAACTGCAGGCCTCACTTACCTCATTTAAGGTCAGAGTTAATGATTCAACAGTAGGAAAGAGGCTGGGCAAAAATAGCATTCATGGAGGGCTTCAAAGGAGAAAAACACTGCTGAACAATGAAAACAATTAAAGACTCATTGCCAGTTATCATAAATGCTTGATTGCCGTTCTTGCTGCAAAGGTTTGCACATTAGTTATTAGGTTTAGGGAGCAATTCCTTTATCACACAAGGCCTATGTAGGTTTGGATAACTTTTTTCCCCCTTATAAATGAAATCATAACTTTAAAACGGCATTTTGTGTCAACTCGGGTTATCTTTATCTAATGTTCATTTTTTAAAATGATCTGAAGCATGTAAGTGTGACAAATATGCCAAAACCACCCCCAAAGAAATCAGGAAAGGGGAAAAGATTTTTTCACAGCACTGTAACTATACTAAAATATATATCAATATTTCAGTTTTAATATAAAGTGCAGATATGAATGAGAGCGAATAAGGACTTGTTAGAGAGCAGACCTTCAGAGTGACGTTCATCTGGAAGACGAAGAGGAGCCGCGGAGGGCAGGGCCGGCAGTTCAGCTTCCACTCTTTAGATACCGGGGAGTCTTTGATGGCAGCCCGGATCAGAGGCAGAACCTTCTGCCGCAGAGCGTCCAGAGCTCGGAAGAGCCGGTCGTAGGTCACGTCGAAGGTCTGGTTGGGGTGGACGAGCAACAGGACGTGACACACGGAGAACATGTAGAGCAGGTGGAGGCAGTGCTGCCGCTCCAGGCCCTTCCAGAAGTCGTGGGCGTCTGAGTGTCCGTTCCCGGTGTCCAGAGACAGGCAGGCTCGCAGTAGCTGTCGGCTGTCGCAGACGGAGGAGAGCAGGAGGTACAGCACCCGGTTCTCCTGGTCGTAAAAAGCCTGGATGTGGCTGCTAGGCGTGCCGCCGTCCTCCGGTCCGCCGAACATCAAGAAAAGGTGTTTGTCCGCCAGTGTGTTGATCAGAGATTCCTTCAGCGCGCCGGGCTGCATGTTGCTTTTACCGAAAATACCGACCACACACAGCCCCTCTTCCCGGTAAGCAGCGTCCTCTAAGAGCTCCGCTTGTAGTAGATCCCCCACACTGACGGGACGAGCCATGTTTGCTTCCTTCATGTTGAAAACCAGGGGAATGAAAACAACCCCGGACTCTTTTCCCCTATCATTTCCGGTTCCTTGCACTAAAATGTCCGAGTCAGTGCAGCATTAGCTTCAACGTTCCTCTTCCCAATTTAAACCACAGTTTGTGTCACAGAGTTATTAAATTGTGGGTTCATTTTATTTTATTTTATTTTATTTTATTTTATTTGTTCGGTTTCAGCTATTGTCCTAGGATGGGAGCATACCAGGAGGAAGACGATCCACTAAAAAGGAGCTGCTAAAGAAAGAAGAAGACAGTAGTTTTTTTTTTAAACTTTATTTAACAAACAATTAGTATACATAATACGAACAGATGAAGTATACAAAACAACAGAACATGAACACCAAAAGGCAGGGGTAAAAGAAAAAAAAACAATTATAAGAATACACGCAACAATTCACATACATATATTGTTTTGAGAGCCTTTTCAAATCAAATCAAATCAAATCAAATCACTTTTATTGTCACATCGCATGTGCAGGCACACTGGCACAGCACATGCGAGTGAAATTCTTGTGTAAGAGCCCCACAAGCAACAGAAATGTGCAAACACAACAACACAAACCAGCAAATACAAGAATGGCTACATCTGAAACTAATAAATATATGTACAATATATAATAG